AGGAATTCTAGAGCATGGAAATGCCCTAATTTGCTATTGATGCATCCGCATGATGAGTCAAATTTAGGTCCTATGGGAGGAGAGTAACACTTAGCACTTACACACCGTGCTTTTCATCCTCAGGGTCCTTCACCACGTGAGGCTGTAATGTTATAGTTCTCTCAGCAAGACAAAGGAGTTCATTTCTAGTCCTCTCAACTCGCCTTACACACACACACACACACACACACATGCACACGCACACGCACACACTCCCAGACAATTGTTATCATATGATGAAGTTGTATCCCACTTCCTACACATGGATTATGCTATCCATTTTTTAAAAATCAAATTTAAAAGGTCAATTCACCTTCCTCTTTATTTTCCTCTTTTTAAAAATCTTTTTGGTTTTGTTTCTGGTTTCTTTCCCTCTGACATAGAAAATGAAATCAGGATGCTAACTGCCACCTGTTACTAGAGTCTATTCAGTATTACTGGTAGGGTTCTGTACTTGACTTGATCCCTCATGCCTCAGGGTCGTCTGTGTCATCTCTGGCCAGTGAGGAGAGTTGAATACTCTTTCTTGGGGGTTCTGGAGGAGTCCACCAAGTTCCATGCTGAGACCTTCTCTACTTCATCTCCATGCATTCCTGGCTCGGGTGATTACATCGAGTCTCAGGTATTTGAACACCATCTATATGCCAGTGACTCCCAAATTTATATCTCAAGATGAATTGCCTCTTTCTGAATTACAGACCACTTAGATCCCTGTGCCGATTCCGTATCTCCACTGTAGTCAAAAAACAGTCTCCACGGTCTTCTCTTCAAACTGGCTCTTCCCACAGTCAACTCCCATTCCTTCCAGTTGCTTAGGCCAAAAACCTCGTTCACCTTTAATTCCATCCTTTCTCTTACTCCCCAGATCTAATTCATCAGCGAATCCTGTTGGCTCCATCTTCAAAATAGACCCAGAATGTAACCACTTCCTCCATCTCCACCTTGGACCAATCCGCCATCATCTTTAATCTAGATTCTTCCATTAGTCTCCTTAACTGCTCTCTCCCTCCCTCCAAGAGTTTACTTTCAACTCAGCAGCCAAAGTGAACTCCCTAATATATAAGTCAGATCCTATCACTCCTCTGCTTGAAACTGTTTGTGGTTCCCCATCGCACCAGGAGAAAAATCTGGAGGCCACAGGCCTTCTGGAATCTGCCCTCCTGTGCCCACTCTTCAGCTTATTACACACCCTCCTCTTTGCGATTCCTCCATCCCACAGAATCCTCCAGCCTTAGAGCTTTGACATATTGCTCTCTCCACTTGGAACACTGTTCCCCTCAACACACCTGCTCGGAAGCAAAGCTCCGCTCTCCTCCTTCAGGTCTCTGCTGCATGTCCGCCTACCAGCAAGCCCTCCCTGACCACCCCCAACACTCACTCTGCCCCTTTCCTGCTATAACACTTACCACCTTCTGACATGTTATATGTTCTATTGTTTTCACTTGCTGATTATTTGTCTTGCTCCTGAGAAGCAAGCTGCCTGAAGGTAGGGTTTTGTTTTTAATTAGCTTTAGTTCATGGGTAGATTCATCAAGGCTTGGACAGTGCCTGGTACATGGTGAGCACTCAAAAAAGATATACTGAATGAATACACAATGAACACAAGTTTCTCATCTGTTTCAGGACATAGACTATCCTGACTTCTAAGCCACAGGCAAACTGAGATTTGTGATGCCTGCTAGCGATGGATGCTTTTTCAGGGGAACTACATCTCTTACTAAAGAGTTGTGAAACCATGAGCTTATACTTATGTGGAAGATTGGGTAACTGTGGAATGTGCTGCCTTCTATATTGATATAGATACAGGTAGTAGAGCTTTTTCCATTGTCATGACCTGACTCTAGCCTGTCCTCATTCTATACATCCATTGGTACACTTTTGGAAAAGGGTGTCAGGATTAGAGACAGTCCACAGAACAGAATTTTCCCCAGTGGATAGCCAAATGGGCTAATAAGCAAGGATCAATTCTCTATTTGCTCTTGGACAGAATTTTCTAGATAAAACTGCAGCTAGAGAGTTAGAGGTGGGGGGAAGGACCAGCCTAAATTTCCCAGTGTTTTTGTATAAAGTACTTATACCCAGAGGAAAAGACATCAGAAGAAAGATAGAGACATAGAATTAAAAAGAAATAATTATCTGAATGTGGAGCAAAAGAAAGTGAAAGACAGCATTACACACATAATATAATATATAACAATAAGGTTTGCTTTGAATAAAGAGCTTGTATTCCTACTTTTCAAGCAAGGGATGAATAAATGAAGCAGGAGCTATGGGTGGCAGTGTGCCAGAGATGTTAGCAGTTAGAGAAATGTGGTACAAAGGTTGTATGAACATATGCTGGTCGATTGGAGAGTATCTCCTACCTTTCATTTATCCACCTGTGGCTTCCAAAGAAATGCTAGGCAGAAGCCACCAACACAGCCCATTTGGCTGCTGGATAAGTCATTGTGTTTTAGGTCTCAAGAAGCCAAGGCAATCCAAGGTTGGATTTGGCCCCTCTGATTTGAAAGAGGCAAAGGGAGAGGATACCTCAACAGCCTGAATGCTGACCAGCTTTCATGGTGTACCAGTAAAGTTGGGGTCTGAGACAGCCACCCCAAAACCATGAGAGAAGTGGACTACAAAGCCCCTCACCCAAACACCCATCACAAAACCAGCACATGGCTGAAAGCAACATTCAAAAGACACCTTTAACAAATATTTTAAGGATATGTTTACAATATGTATTTCTACAACTACAATAGTCCTCTTTCTCAACTTTGCTTGCCTAATTATTTTCATTTTTTAAAGTTTAATTATTCATACTCTTTCTCAACCCACAAGGACTCAGAAGCAATTCACAAAAAGGCGTATAAGCACGGAAATGTTTTTTTTTTCATTATGGTATTTATGATTATTTAATTATTTTTTTTTTTTACAAATAGTTTATTGTCAAATTAGTTTCCACATAACACTCAATGCTCATCCCCACAAGTGTCCTCCTCCATGCCCGTCACCCCCCTCCCCCCCACATCCATCAGTCCTCAGTTTTTGTCAGCATTCAAGAGTCACGGAAATGTTTTTTAAATTAAAAATCGGGACCAGAGGAAATATAAACTAGAACTGAAAGTCTAGCCTGGGGAGAAGTAAAACATGTTCATCATAGTGTTCTAAAAAGTTCTCAAAGTTAAGCAGTAAACTTGGCTTTCTGTTAACCGAGCAGTCAAAGCAAAAAGAGAAACAGAACCAGTTACATGATTCTCAGGTCCACGAGGAGAAAATAGTTCAGTTCCTTTGGGGGAAGCAAACTATTTCCTGGAATTCAGATGTGCAAGAATTTCCTCCCATGGGGCTTCATATAGAAATGAGTACTATGCAAAGGAGAACATCTAAAACCACACCCCTACCACGGGCTTCCTAAAGCTGTCCTTGGTAAATGTCTGTAAGAATATCAAGGGCACATACTTCAATTAAAACCATTCTATTAGAAATGAAGACAATATGAATCAACATGACCCAGTACACACCTTTCTTACAGTTCAGTTTAATCTAAGAGGCCAACTTTGACTTCCTTGAGGAATGAATGAACTTATTAATCCCTCGGTTTTTTACATGTCTACCAGGAGAGCTAAGTTTATTATTCAACCAGAGGAAATTTACTAGGCTTTTGGGTTCTTCCTTGCCCTTGTTATTTTCATTTTTAAAAAATACATTTCTAGTGCAGTGAATTATAGAACATATGCCTTCTATTTTTCTTGAGTTAAAATTTTAAGTGCTCAGAAGAGTGTCTGGCAAATAAGTGCTAAGTAAGTATTTGTTAAAAAGGGGGTGAGTCTTTCATGTCACCTGGGGGGTGGAGGAAGTGGTTGTGTCAAGTATGAATGACAAATTAATCATCTATAAATAAAATCAGTTGATTGAGATTTCATACCTCTCCTGTATCCTTCACCAATCATCATGATTTTGCCTAAAGCAGTATAGACTCAGCGCAAGCCCTAAACTATCTTGATGTAAGAATGTGACATGAAAAATCTGGTGGAGGGATTATTATAATTTCACGTTCAGGAGGATTTGTAGGTTTTGAAACATCAGAGCCTTTTGAAATGTCTCCCCCGGATGGAACAGCTGGAACTTCAGAATCCATTACAACGTTGCCAGCCCTTCCTTTCAACCAACTTCCACATTTTAAGTCTCTGTTCATGGAACGTGTCTAATTTGTTGTTTAGTACAGTGTGGGCATTCAATAGCGCTCTATTGTAACAATAAAAAAATGCTAAAGAGCTTCCTTATCACATTTACTTGGGAGCCCGTTTCCTTTCCTTTATTGTGACTTTAAAATACAAGCACAACATTACGATAAACTGAATATACTGTGGAGGCATTCATAAAGTGGATTTTCTAAATTTATATTTATGTTTTCTACATTTATTATTAAGAACAAATAATACACACATACATTTAAACCATTTGTCTCAATAATAACAGATGTTCAATAATATCACTGGGAAGGAATTGTGATGCTGGCGGAGATCTACTGGGAAGATTTATCCTAGGTTTTCAGAATAAAATGAGACCCCTTCTCCTCTGCTATGATTATCTGCCTATTGTCTCTTTGGGTTTTGTCTTCTGCATGCAACACCCATGTAAGGCTTACTACTAAATGTTCAGCAAACTAAATCAACTAGTTTTGAATAGAAAAAGTCTGAGTTTGTCCAACTCAACGTTCAAGAATCAGGTAATGGGTTTTTTTGCTTGAATTTTGTATTTCATGTCTGTTTTCCCCTTGATGGATTTCTACTACAATCAGGGACTCATCCTTTTTTTTTTTTTTTAAAGTCATGAGACACACACTTGCAGATGCATAGAATGCTGTTTTAGGGCCACATCAACACCATCTGCAGTGCCACCTAAGTTCCCACGCAGAAAATTTTAATGGGGGTTAGCGGAGGCACCTGCCAAGGTGTCTATTCAAGCAAACCTACCCGCTTGCTGCTCTCCTCCTCTTGAGCTTTCCTGAACTCATGCTCGAGGGAGCAGTCCAGCTCATTGAAGAGCCCCACCTCCTCACAGTTCTTCAGGAATCTCGTTGGGGTCGGAGTCTGATCTGAAAACAGAGACCAAGGAATCATACATGGGATCTTTTCCTCAAAAGCCAGTAGCTAGCATGAGCTCAAATTCACTAATCCCCTTCCCTCGTCTTAATTAAGATGCCAACTGGTCATCCATAATTTTATACCCTTTTAAATAAAATGGCAATATGGAAGAAACTAAAACCACAAATCTCACAGGAAGAATACAATGTGTAGGCTGCATATGTAGGGTTTTCTAAACTTCTTCCAGACAACCTCCAGAGATCCCACCAACAACTTTCTGGGGTCCCTATCATTTGGACACACATTTCAATGTGTGGAATGACTTTTTTTTAACTGGAAAAAAATGATTTAGCTAAAATTAGGCCAAAAAAATTCTTCTGAGACAAAGTTAAGCTTGATTTTAGGGGGAAAACAGATTTTGTAAAAGTGTGTATCAATCAAAAAGAAACAAACAAGCATGTTAATTCTTTCTCTTTTTTTAAACTTTATTTATTTATTTTGAGAGAGAGAGAGAGAGAGAGAGAGAGAGAGAGAGAACAAATGGGGGAGGGGCAGGGAGAGAGGGAGAAAGAGAATCCCAAGCAGATTCTGCACTGTCGGCACAGAGCCAGATGCAGGGCTTGAACCCACCAACCATGAGATCATGGTCTGGGCCAAAATCAGGAGTTGGGCACTCAACTGACTGAGCCACCCAGGCGCCCCAATTCCTTTTCCTTAATGGAAAAAGAAAATATGGCAATTCTGTCTCTCATTCTGAGAGTCATAGAGGATGATGAAAGGTTCCAAGTTAAACACATTCAGCTTTCATCCATTAAAAATATAATTATTAATTTTATTTTCCTTTGCTATAGCCAAAGGAATGTTCTGAGAAAACTCTTTAAAAGGAATTTCTTTCATATTCTTGACTGTCTAGTGAGCACATATCTTAGAAAACTGGAGGATCTGAAGCCACTATTTGTGGCGTAATATTTATGCAGCCTTTGCAGTTTACAAAACGTTTTCAACATGTTCTATATAATCTAGATCTCACAAGATCCTGTAAGGTAAATAAAGGTAGACTTACACCTTTGTAATCACTAAGGACAGTCAACTTCCTTGATAAAGGTGTACTGGAGTTGGCATTAAGAAAACTGTAAAGTGTCCTATTGTTCTAAACAGAAGATGGCCATGCAAAATGGCCATGCTAATTATTTTGCAAATGAGGGAACCTGAGGTCCTAAGTGATTAAGAGTCCTGTTCAAGGTCTCCCAGAGAAATGTGATGACACCAGGATTATGACCAAAGCCTTGGTGATATTGCCAATATGTACATATATTATTCCCACCTGAGCCTACAGCACACACTGCTAGATTAATTATGGCACTTGTCCAACTTAACCTATCCTCAGTCCCAAATTCTCTTTCTGCACAGTTCTCTAACACATCACCACCACTCAACTGAAGAATGCCACAAGTGGACATGAATTTGCCATTCCTGCACGTTCTTTATATATTCCTGTATCATAAAAAAACTAGAATCATATTTACTTTTCTAAGTCATACACAGAGCAGTTACCCCCAGTAAATTAACCATTGAGATTCTAAGAAATAGCTTAATATTAATGAAGATGAAAGTAGCTTGAGATCCCCACATATTCAGGCCTTCCAAGGCAAGATCTCCTGATTCCTTATGGTGAGGGGCTCTCCCACCTGTTAAACTCCCAACTGGTTGACCTGGATCTCAAAAATCCCCTTCTGCATCCTTTTCCATTCTTAGCCCAGCCTCCAAAATACTGAGCTCTTTTTACAGTACACAGAGAGCCTACCACAGATGATCATAAATTGGACATTACACAGAAAAGCTATGTAAAAGTTGGATTTGATTGAAAATGGTTTTATTAGCACGTTAATCTATTAAGAGCCACACATACACATTTGTGTCTCAATATACATATAACATGTATATGCATATACACATATGTATACAGTGTGATAAAATTAGTACAAAAAGGACAAAATTAGTATTTATGAAGCATTTTGCAGTTTACAAACATTTTCACCCACACTGTCTAGAGTCTATATCTCACAAGATCCTATGAAGTAAGTAGGTCCCTCTTATTTTAGAAATGGAGAGATAAGTACCTTAACACGATGTCACAATTTGTAACCATTTTATCACTTCTCTTTTTCCTTCAGGCATAATCCCTTCTCAGTCTAAATCCTGTGCTTTTCCAGGACTCACCTCTGGGTCTGAAGGACTCTGTTACATGTGTAAAAGACAATGTTGGCAACCCAGAAATCCAGATTTGAAAATCATATGATTCGGGATACATTACCTACATTCTGGACCTCATATTCCTCCTCTTTCAAGTAAAGTTCTAAAGTTACCTGTTCTATGAATCCTAAAATCACCACCATAATGGGTTCCCTTCAAAGTCACTGTCACTAGGTCAAAGAAACATGGCCATTTAAAGGACAGCTTAATGGGAACATCAGAAACAGCTGGCTAGACTCTAGAAATTAAGCCAGAAGTAAAGGCTAGACAGATAAAGAAGTTTCCTGAACAGAAGGTGTAAACAGACAAGACCTGACAGTGAAAATAAAGGGTGGTGTGTGTGTGTGTGTGTGTGTGTACATATTCTTCCATTTATTGAGTGCTTATTCCATGTCAGGCATAGTGTTAAGTGCTTTGTATTATACACCATCTCATTCATTTCACACCAACCACATTTGGTAAAAATCATTTTCCCCTTTTACTTATAAGGAAACCGAAACTCACTCCAGGCTGGGGCCACATAATTATATTGGTAATTGACAATCCTAACCATCCTTGGTTCTTTTAAAATATCTTGGAATCATTTCTATCCCTTGTATAATTGAACCATATTGTAATCCTACAGACCCTCTACTATCTTGCAGGTCATTTTGACTAAAAAGCCTGAGAAAATAGCACATAACAGAACTGAAATACTAGACCACTTGCCATCAGTAGGAATTTAGTTTGCCAGGTTTTAATTCCTCTTCTGCTCTTCTATATTTCTTTGTTGGAGATTTACAAGCTGAGGGTCATGATTCTACATAGAGGGAACAGTAATCCTAGGAGGATCCGCATGGGTCCTGAAGTCTAAGATGAGTTCATGAGATGGGCCATGAAATTGAATTCACACTGGCATTTGGAGGCCAAACCTCAAAAAAACTTGAGAAATGTGTTCTGTCTTCTCTCAGCAAAATTATCTCCAGATTCAAGTGCCTGCACACGCACCCACGTACATCAGGAAAGGAGGTGGAAGGAACACGGCACAGGAATGGTAAAGGCAATGGCCACCATCGCTAGCCTCTCGGCAGCAACAAGGATACAAAAGGTATGAAGCAAGGGAAACTTTGAGCCCTAAAGGGAGTTGGTTCCCTCCTACCCCTAGAGCAGAAGACCCAGATGGAGGCCATAGAGTTGTACTAAATGTGACTTTCTTTGCTGTATGATATAATAAAGGAAAAGCAAAACAGGTATCTGTATCCACATTTGGAAGAGATAAGGCCCACTGTTCCTAATTTTTAATTCATTTTCTCCTGGTGAATGAGCTATTCTTTCCAGTTACAACAGGAACCAGAAAATGGAGCTTAACTTTTATTTTAACATTTATTAGAATTAATACGGGGTCTCTAGCTGTCTTTGATCCCACATGGTACCAGTTCCAAGGAAGGCAGGAAATGTGCAAATCTTCAAAAAGGGGACAGCTAAATCTATCAGCAGCTTAAATAAAAGAGTCAGAGCTTCTCGGCCACATGAATGCCTTGTCAAATAACTATTCCAGCTGAAATTAGATCTAAAGTAGGTGAGTAATATCCATGGCCATAAATTAAAATCCTTATAAACCCCACCTTCTTTGGGACCAAGAGCATGCACCAGTTCTGGGAGTAGCAGTTCATAGATAACAGTGGGTGAAGCTCTGCTGGCGGATAGTATCTAAGGTGTGTTCAGGAGTAACAGGCCATACTCCAAGGACTTCTAGGAGCTGGTCCCAGTGGGAACTCAGAGCCGAGATGTTCACTGTAGGCCTTCTGTTCACCTTTCTTTTAGTGTTCCCACTTGAGTGAGGGTCATCTGAATGAGAGAAAGGAAGAACTCCCAATCTCAAAACTAACCTAAAAGTTAGTCACGTTTGAGTTTGCGCTGCCCTTGAGTGGAAAGTATTTTGTTGTTCTTCCCTTTGCAAATCCGAACTGGCACGGCGTAAGCACCGACACGTTGCTCCCTCGCAGGGAGTTCGCAAAGAGCACACCAGCTTCTCAGAACACCCAGAGAGCCGGGATCACGACAAGTGGGGTATCTTACCCACCTCTACCTGCCTCGCCTGTCCTTGGGATCTCCTTACCATTCGGACAAGAAAGACTGGCGCCAAAAGGGATTAAAAAAAAAAAATCCTGTGTAAAGGTTGCCATATTTCAGTATCTGGTACCTTTCTTGGAAAGGTTAGCCTGTTCCTTGAAAAGGAGCACCTTTTCATAGAATCGCTGCCTCTGTAAGCAGCTAGGTAGAGGATTCTTGCCACATCGAGACCTTTCTTGTACATCTACCTGCAACAGTGCCACGAGCTCCACATTATGATTTAGAAATTCACCCATCCGTTATACGATAGGAAATTCTGCACCCCAATACATCTGGGTAGGATGACAAGTCCGTGGCCAGAACTGTTAGGGGAAGGAAAAAAGCTCACGAAGTTTTCCAATCAGTCCATAGTCTGCCTAGCATCAAAAGCTTCAGCCCCAGCAAGTATGATTACTCCAAAGACTAAATGACAAGCACAAAGCTAAAGCCTGAAACCTGATTCTTCTTTTAAAAAGTGTTTAGTCTGCTCTACATTTAATAATAGGTTGCTACCTTATTCGGTTTCAGAGCTGCATTTGAGGTATACGTTTGTCTATGTTTCATTTTCCTCAATGATAAAAAGGCAAGGCGACAAGTCATCAATTTAAAAAAAAAAAGTAAAAGCAGAGTTCCCATAACATATCAAGAGAAGAAGAATGCAAACTTC